GGCTTTCATCTTTTTTGGCTGCTGGTGGCACAGAAGTGACACAGGACAGATGATCTGGGCACACCCACACTGGTGCTTGTAACCCAATGAAATCCACAAGGAAGAGTGTGAAAGGCAAAATCCACTTTCTCCAAGAATTTTTTATATTATCAAAGATAAAATCTCTTCTCTCTTCTCCCCAAAGATCTCACGGGGAGTTTTATTCCTCTGGTTTCCTGTGACTGCAGAAGGGAGTTTCTCATTCCCAGGAGCAGCGTCTGCTCGTTATCTAATTGCTGATTAACATCAAATTCTGCATCCTGGAGCTGCAGGCAGGTCCCAGGTGAGCTGTTGTGAGCACTGGGCACAGAGCCAGGGCTTGTTCCTGCCTCTCCTGGACCAAGGAAAATTGTACCCCTGGCACCCCCAATTCTTTGTGTGGAATTTAAGGATTTGCCTGAGTAAGGAATCGGCTGGAAAATGGGGAAATCATCATTCCTATGCAGAGCTCTCTCCACCTTCTGCCTCAGCACTTATTTAGTGTTGACTGAAATCCTGGCACCCCTGGAGCTGGGCATCCTTTGGAGTGAAAAATTCCTACATGGAAGTGCTTTCCACATCACTGGAAGAGCTTTGGGTCACTTTTGCTGTTCAGCCTTTGTCCTGGAGCGACTTGATCTCATGGAAGAGATCCCTGCTCATGGCCAGAGTGGTTGGAACGAGATCTTTTGGTCCCTTCCCACCCAAACGAGATCTTTTAGGTCCCTTCTCACCCAAAACATCCCATGGTTCTGTGATAAAGCCAAATCCAGCCCTGCAGAACTGAGCACCTCAGTTCTGCTCTGGTGGAGGGAACCAGCTCCACGTGGGAATGACAGAAAGGTGACAGAGAGAGGCAGGAATGGGAATGACCAGGAATGAGTTCATTCTCCAGCCCCAGTGGAGATGCTGAGACCAGAGTTTTTCCATGCTTTGATGAATCCTAATTATGGTACTAAAGCTGCTGCTGCTTCTGGAGGCAGTTTTCCAGCTCTTCACCCCACTTTGGATGCCAGGAATTCCTTCTGATCCTACCTAAAATCCTCTTTCCTACTGCATCAACCCCAGAACAAAAAGTGGGAAGAACAAAGCATCCCGAGCCTTCCATTTGGAGGATCTGGAAGGTTCTCATCCCATCACACACCACTTCACACTTTTCAGTGCAATGTGTAAGATTTTTCCATGGAGTGCAGAATTCCAGCAGGGCTTTGTTTCACATTTTTTCCCCAAAGTTTGACACATGTTAAACTTGTGATCCAGCACATCTTCTTTTCCTGCCAGATTGCTGCGAGGGAGATTCCCTCATCCCATACTTGTGCCACATTAACTAGAGAGCTTTTTGTGCTTGTCCTTCCTAAATTACACCCTCTTTTCTCAACCTACCACTTACATTTTACTGGAATCACCCAGAATTCTCCTGTTTGCAGATTCTCTCAGCTCGTCACCCGTGAGCTCAGTGAATTTATTGTCTAATACATCATCCAAACCAGCAATTAAAACTTTGCATCATCCCAGAGCCAAGAGGAGCCTTTTAATGGATCGTTCCAGCCTGACAGCAAATTGTTGGCTGTGGTTTGCTCGTGATTTCAGCCCGACTGGGTTTCCTTGGTTTTGCTCCTGAGCCCATCACGTCACACTGTGCCAAAAGCTTTATTAAGGCTGAGCTGTGTGACAGGTACCACTTTTACCCTCACAGATTTTGTTATCTTGTCACAGGGAGGGATATCACCCACCTGTCATAAAACCCTCGCTGATCATCCCTGCCTCCTTGATAACCCCTACACTGTTGATTGATGATCTTTTTCAGAGCTTTTTTTCCCTACTCTGGGTTGGCTGCTCTGTGTGTCCCTATGCCCTTTTTAATAATGGATTATTTCCACATTTCTTCATGGAAAGGCTTTGGAGGTGGCACTCAGTGCTCTGGTCTGGTTGACAAGGTGAGGATTGGTCACAGGTTGGACTCAATGATCTTGGAAGTCTTTTCCAACCTAAATGAGTCTGTGATTTGTTGTTACCCAGTCTCCCAAAACACCCAAATTTCCCTGTTGCAAAGAAACAGGAGCAGGAGAAACTGGCTGGGTTTGGTAGCTGTGATGGATTTCTTTCCCCATTTTTCCTGGGCACGACTTTGGCTGAGAACCCTCACTGATTTGCATATTTACACAGAAAACACTAATTTTATTCACTTTTGATGTGTTAATTAGTTCATCTCATTAATATCTGTGGCAGCAAAGTGGCTCTTGCTGTTGTGTTTGATGTGGTTGTGTCTCCACACCTGTTTTCCCTCTTGCTCCACACGTGGAAGCACAAACACAACTCCTGACTCCGCAAGCGCAGCTCAAAGCTGTGGCGTTGGAAAAACAAATCCTGCACTGAGGCTCCAAGAATCACCTGGAATTCTTCTCCCAGACTGCTCAGCCTGGAGAGCAGCAGCACCCAAATCTCACACTGGGAAAGGGAAATGGGACTGATTGAATCCATGGGGAAAAATAGGAGATTTAGGCTTTGCCTAAAGCTGAGCCACCTTGATCTTTTACCTGCACTTTCCTGCAGCCCAGGGAAAGAAAAAAGTGTAGTAAAGGAGCTGTGACCTCATAATCAGCCCATTCCTCACCTCCAATCAAGAAGGAGAGTTTTAAATTGTCCCTCTTTCTTCTTTATTTAAAAGAGTTACAGCAGTCCCTCTTCCTTCTTTATTTAAAAAAGTTCCAGCAGTCTTCCACTCAGAGGCTCAGTGGTGACAAAGTCCATCCTCCAGAATTCCCAGCTCCAGATTTACTTTTCTGTGGCCTTCAGTTCCCACAGTCAGGAGCTTTCAGTCCAGGAGCTAGGTGGGTGGACAAGACAAGGAGTAAATCCTATTAAACACAATCCCTTCACCTCCAGAGAATCAGTCGGGATAATCCCGGCTACTTCAGCTGCTTTAGCATCCAGAAATTTCAGGAAGAAAAAAGGTTCCTCTAAATTTGTAGACAATTCTAGGAAACCACTCTCTCTTGACCTTTTGGACTGCTGTGGTGAAAACTGGGGGAAAAGCTGGGAGTAAGGGTCTGTAAAAGATCAGGATAAAGTTCATTCTCCCTCCTGAGCTGTGTCCATCCTGGCTCCCCACACCCTCACTGGACTTATCTCAGCCCTCCACTCGTTCCTTCCCCTCCAGATGGTCTCTCCACCAAGATTTTGCTTTCTCTTGTCCAGCAAAACTGCTTGAGATACAAATTGCTCCTTCTACTTCCTCGTTCTCCTGCCAATATGACAGGTGGTAAAACAATAACAGCTTTGGCCTGGATCTCAACTTTATTGGAGTTGTTTAAAAGCACCTGAGGTCCAGCAGGGAAGAACTGTGCAGGGTAGGGAGGACTTGCTCCTGGAGGAATTGCACCTGGGATTGGGATGCAGCACAGCCACCACAGCCCTACCAGTGCCTGCCCTGAGCAGCTGGACTTCTCTTCCTTCTTTTTGGTTTAAAAACTTGTTCTTCTCCTTCTTCATGTAATTTTACCTTCCCTTTTGAGGTTTTGTTTGGTGAGAGAAAATTACCAGCAGGTTCTGCTGTTGATTTGGTCTTTTGACAGCTGTCATCTCCAGGCACAGCTCAGTGGGGTGTGAGTGTCCTCTCATCCCTGCCCACCACTGTGGTGTCACCTCCTTAATTTCCTCCATTTCCCCTCATGAAACAAAATATTTAAAACCAGTCGCCAGATCCAGAGCTCACAGCACAAAACTTGTTGTGAAGTTGATGTGAAATCTTTTGTCCTCCTGGAAAACTGAAATCCAGGCACTCTGAAATGCCTGAAAAAATCCAAATGTGCAACCAAAACCCAGCAGAGTTCCAGGGCAATGCTTCAGAGAAAGCAAAGATCTCATTTAACCATCAAACACAACAAAAAAAACTCCGACACCCTTCAGTTGTTTGGACCAGCTCTGGTTTCTCCCGGGACACAGCTGAGCTAGGGATGCTGCCAGCTTTTCCTTTTCTCTCTCTTTTCTTTTATTTTTTTTTCTGTGTGTTTTCCAGGAATGGGAGCTTGCAGCTGGGGCTGTGACCCAAGAAGCTCTGAGCTGTTTGTGTGAGTCCCTGGCTGGCTGCCCTCCTTCTTCTTCTTCTCTGTGACACCCCCAGGCTTCCCACAGAGCTTTTCTGTGTCCCCTCAGCTGCAGCTCCTGCGGGAGGGGAGGGAGCAGAGAGCGTGGAGGGCAGAACCAAACAAAGCTCAACACAATCGATGGTTTCTCTGCCAGGAACGTGGCTCTGCAGAAAGCCTCTCACAAGCTCTGAATGACAGGGGTTGGTGACAGCTGTGTGAGGTTGTTTTGGCCCTGGGGAGAAAGAGGGGAATGGATCTGGGGATGTCTTTTCCAGCTGGATGAGGTCCATGGGGAGGCAGTGTGAGAGCAACTCCCAGCTCAGCGGGCTGCCCCCATTCCTTCCCTTCTCCCTCCCACCTTCCCACTGCTTTTCCTCTCTCAACCACATATTTCCCTCTCTGCCTTTCCCCTGTTTTCTCTTATGAGAGAAGCTCATTTCAAAATGGGAATGGGAGGAAAGACCCTGAGGAGCCAGAAATTTCTCCCCACTGAGGCTGGAGAAAAGTCCACAACACTGCCACAAATCAGCTTTACTTCCACCTGCTCGTTTATAAACAGATGTTTGATAACCCAGACTCACTGTGAGCAAATTCACCGATCATCCCCTGTGCTGACACAACTGTGGAGCCATTGCAGGTTGGGATGTTATTCCTCACAGAGCTTTGAAAGTGAGAGACAAAACTATGCCTTCAAGGATCTCCTCGGAGCAATAATGATTTGAAGCTTGAACATGTCAAAAAGGCCATTTTCTATATGTTTTCTTAGGTGAGTTGGATGTCTGGGGACACTCTGGATTCAGGCAGGCTCAGGAAATCAATGGGAGTTCAGCACCTGACTTATCCAGGCTCTCTCAAAAATCCCAGGGGAAGCTCAACCACAAAACACGAATCTTTGAGAGTGGAAAATTATCCTAGAACAACACTTTTATTTCAGCCATCATGGGGAGCTCTTCCAAACCCATCACAATCTGTGTGTAAAGATGTAAGTGACGCTGGCCAGGACACCCAGGGACATCATTCCGTGGCTGCTTTGCCTGCTGCTGACTCCATTCACGTTGCACAGGGGTTTCTCACAGCAGGAAACATTCTGGGAGCTTTGGATTTGTTGCTGACCTGTTTCTGGACACGTTGGAGAGCACATCTTGGAGATGACGTATTTAGGCTTGTTGGGCTCTAGTGCAGGAAGAAAAGTGGGGGAAAGGAGAGAAAAAGGGGGATGAAAAATAATTGTTTAAATATTTTTGTGGCTAAATCTGTGTTGGTGAGTAAAGGAAGGCCAGGCACTAATCCTTAAGCCGTATTTCATGGAAATAATCATAGAATCATGGATTGGCTTGGGTTGGAAGGAACCTTAAAAATCATCCATGGGCAGACGTGAGAAGTGGATTTGTGATGAATTGGATACTTGTATACTTCACTGTGTACAACAAATGATAAATAAGACCATCAAAAAAGTTTTTACACTCAAAAAAAAAGAGGGGGAGATGTGAGAAATGGATTTGTAATGAATTCTCACAACCTGACTGAAAGTTCACAGAGTCTTGTGCATCTGTATGCAAACACTGAGATAAAGTGTGCTGACTTAGGAAGGCCATGGAACAGAGATGACATTGTTGAGAGAGAGACTGAGTTAGAAACAAGTTTCAACAAGTTTCAAACTATGGCCTTGCAAAAAA